TCACAGTGTTATATTGAACTCCTGAATATCCATACACTTTCTATCCAACAAATACTTAATGAATGCTACTTTTGAGATCTAATATTGCATTTTTAGAAAAAAATGGTCTAATTTGTTCCAGTACGCAGTCGATTGGTTGCTCTTACTCATACATGCAGTCCAAAGTTAAAATTGTCCAACTATAATGCATTTCCTACCAAAAATTTTAGTCATGCATTTTTTATTTGTACGGTAGTCTTGATATTTCCATGTTAATGTAGTTTTCATTTGAATCAAGATTTTCTTTAAAACTCAAAGGAGATAAAAAGTAATCTCATCTAACATAGACAATCATATCCCAAAAAGCCTGTCTCAAACATGTCGCCATATCTGTGTGCCTGGGAGAACAAAAGATTTACATCTCTCTCTCACAGCCCAACGTCTGACATTTAAGGAGCTCCACGCCTCCACCTCCTTGATAGCCAAAACTGGGTCGATTGGACTGGTTTTCGGAAATTAGAACCGGGACTGAAATATTGGCCGTTAATGTGAAGAGACGGTTTAACAAGGCTACATTTCCTGAATTTGTAAGAGCCTTCTTTTTCTGCATCTAACCTTCTTGATTTATTAATTCAAAAGGTCTCTGACGCCAACAAAAGGAATAAAATGTCTTCACAGTGAGGAGTATAGACAAGGGAGATAAAAATGAAATATATATTTGAAAAATTATGCGGCTATAGAGCATTTAAAATGTCAATGTGCGTATTTATAAGCATCCTTGAATGATAGCAATACATTCCACATGTATGCCACATATTTCTCTGATAAACAAAAATGACATTTTAATACCATCAATAACACTAACTTCTTTTTGAAAGAGGACAGTGATTGTCCAGTAATGTTAGGATCTGTCAAAAACTGTTGTTTAAACAATCTCTGTTTCTCAATTTCGAAAAAGATTATCTACTCTTCTGCATTTCACCTGACTTTACTTGCATAACTAGATATTGCTAGTTCCCACACAAAATCCTGATTGGGTGAATTACAGGCCTGAATGATTAAAATCGATGCCGTTTTAAACATTCATGTGTACTCTGCCCAGCTAGCCACTCGCTTTTTCACATCATTTCTCATCTTTGATTAATCAAGAATCAAGGCTATCTAGGCCATCAACAGCCCAACCAATACACATCTGATGAGGCATCCCTGGAAAATGCTTTATGTATCGACGGAAAAGATACTGTATGTAGTTGTGAGTGTGAGGTGTGTATACAGGATGCACAAGCACACAATTATGTATACATGTATATGGAGGTGGTATATAGAGGTATATAGAGATGGGATGCATTAAGAGAATACATTCATTTGGGGGATTTTATTTCATGTTGTCAGTGTAAATTACCCTACCGTATGTTTGTGCTAGCTTTTATATTCTAATATATTGGGCAATCAATCATTTAGGTTAAGCTGACTAAAAGAAAAAAGCTAGAGTCCTTTTTGTGTTGAAAAGAGCATATCAGTTTTTCTACAAAGTACTAAAGTAGATATCTGTAATATAATATGCACAAGCACAGAGTTGATTTTCCCCTTTAGCAATGTAGCAGTCGCAAAAGTATGGCCACCATTTACTTGTCTTCTTCCTACAGACATACTTTTCAAAACATAAGACCATAAAAACAATATTTTTTTCTTCTTCAAAGAGTTTTGAACTACTTTCTACCATCTACCACTTCATAATAACCTTTCCGCAAACAACATTTTCACTCCTGGCACAGGAAATACTGAAAGTCAAGTGTGGGAATGTAGTGTCAGGAGTGAGATTGCCTGTATGGAAGTAGAGAGGGTCCAAATAACCCCTCTCCAGGCCCTCCAGTATAGTATTCTCCTCATTCTTCCTAAAGGCATTCACTCCAAAACATATGGCAAGAAAAACAACTTAAAGTCACAACACTCTTTCTAAAAATCCCCTTTTTCAAACTTTATAATTACTTTGTACCATCTATAACTCAACATTAACCTTTACATGACAATATTTCCATCCCATACATGTACATATGAAATGCCAAATGTATGGTGTGGTATTACTTGTAAAGAGGAGAGGGGCTAAGTATCTCCTCTCAATGTATAGTATTCTCCTCAAATAGTATTCTTTAAGAAGCATTTTGCACAGTTGAATATTACTTTGGTCCATGTACCATTCCACAACAACATGTTTACATTACCCCATGCACAGGAAATGCTGAATGCTGGGAGTGGGATTCTTTAGTGTCAAGAGAGGGATAGCTTGTACGGTAGAGAGGGTCAAAATATTCTTCCTACAGACATTCTTTCCAAAACACATGGAGAAAAAAATGAAAAGATTGCACAATATTCTCTATGTGAGCTTTTTGCAGGTTTTAGATTACTTTCTGACTGACATTTACATCTCTGCATTACACTTTCCACAACAACATTCGTACCCCTTGCACAGGAAATACCCAACATCTTGAGTGGGATTGTAGTGCATCAGAAGTGGAAATGAACAGAATGGGGTTGCCTTTATGGTAAAGAGAGTCCAAAGAACCCCTCTCAAAGTATAGTATTCTCCTCACATCAAGCCATTTCTGTGAAGTACTTCTATTGCCTCATTAAAGAAGAGGCGAGGAGGCAATGGGTCTGTGACATATGGAGGTACTGCACAAGGGTAACAGTGAAATTCTATCATTTTTCACCTCCTCAACAAAAATGGAAGCAAATAAATTTGAAGAGGCAAGTGTTCAACCTTTTTTGTCCATGAATTTCTTGCACATAAGATATATCCTCGTAAGGAATTTTGTCATGCAGTTTAGAAGTGAGACTGAAATGAATGAACATTTGCATGTTGATACTAATTACAAAGCAGTAACCCAGATAACAATACGGCGTTGGGCCAACGTCGGCCATGGTCGGCAGGGTCGCAGTCGGCAAGCCAACGTTGGCTAATCGTTGGGCCATCGTCGCCATTAATGGTGGCTATTGGTTGGCTCATTCGACGTTGGGCCAATGTTGGCTGAACATTGGTCCATTGTCGCCATTTTCACTGATAAATGGTGGCTATTGGTTGGCTATTCGACGTTGGGCCAATGTTGGCTAAACGTTGGTCCATTGTCGCCATTTTCACTGATAAATGGTGGCTATTGGTTGGCTATTCGACGTTGGTCCAATGTTGGCTGAACGTTGGTCCATTGTCGCCATTTTCACAGATAAATGGTGGCTATTGGTTGGCTATTCGACGTTGGGCCAATGTTGGCTTCATGTTGGTCCATTGTCGCCATTTTCACTGATAAATGGTGGCTATTGGTTGGCTATTCGACGTTGGGCCAATGTTGGCTGAACGTTGGTCCATTGTCGCCATTTTCATTGATAAATGGTGGCTTTTGGTTGGCTATTCGACGTTGGGCCAATGTTGGCTAAATGTTGGTCCATCGTCTCAATTATCACTGATAAATATTGGCTATTGGTTGGCAATTCGACGTTGGGCCAATGTTGGCTAAATGTTGGTCCATCGTCTCAATTATCACTGATAAATATTGGCTATTGGTTGGCAATTCGACGTTGGGCTAACGTTGGCTCATTGTCGCCATTTTCACTGATAAATGTTGGATTTTGGTTGGCTATTCGATGTTGGGCCAATGTTGGCTGAACGTTGGTCCATTGTCACCATTTTCACTGATAAATGGTGGCTATTGGTTGGCAATTCGACGTTGGGCCAATGTTGGCTAAATGTTGGTCCATCGTCTCAATTATCACTGATAAATATTGGCTATTGGTTGGCAATTCGACGTTGGGCTAGCGTTGGCTCATTGTCGCCATTTTCACTGATAAATGGTGGCTTTTAGTTGGCTATTCGACGTTGGGCCAATTTTGGCTGAACGTTGGTCCATTGTCGCCATTTTCACTGATTAATGGTGGCTATTGGTTGGCTATTCGACGTTGGGCCAATGTTGGCTGAACGTTGGTCCATTGTCACCATTTTCACTGATAAATGGTGGCTATTGGTTGGCTATTCGATGTTGGTCCACTGTTGGCTGAACGTTGGTCCATTGTCGCCATTTTCACTGATAAATGATGGCTATTGGTTGGCTATTCGACGTTGGGCCAATGTTGGCTGAACGTTGGTCTATTGTCGCCATTTTCACTGATAAATGGTGGCTTTTGGTTGGCTATTCGACGTTGGGCTATTGTTGGTTCAATGTTGTTCCATTGTCGCCATTTTCACTGATAAATGGTGGCTTTGGGTTGGCTATTCGACGTTGGGCCAATGTTGGCTAAATGTTGGTCCATCGTCTCAATTATCACTGATAAATGTTGGCTATTGGTTGGCTATTTGACGTTGGGCCAATGTTGGTTGGACGTTGGTCTATTGTCTCATTTATTACTGATAAATGTTGGCTTTAGGTTGGCTATTCGACGTTGGGCTAACGTTGGCTCATTGTCGCCATTTTCACTGATAAATGGTGGCTATTAGTTGGCTATTCGACGTTGGGCCAATGTTGGCTGAACGTTGGTCCATTGTCACTATTTTTACTGATAAATGTGGGCTATTGGTTGGCTATTCGACGTTGGGCTAAAGTTGGCTCAACGTTGGTCCATTGTTGCCATTTTCACTGATAAATGGTGGCTATTGGTTGGCTATTCGACGTTGGGCCAATGTTGGCTGAACGTTGATCCATTGTCTCACATATTACTGATAACTGTTGGCGTTTGGTTGGCTATTCGACGTTAGGCCAATGTGGGCTGAAAGTTGGACCATCGTCTTAATTTTAACTCATAAATGTTGGCTATTGGTTGGCTATTTGGCGTTGGGCCAATGTTGGCTTCATGTTGGTCCATCGTCTCAATTTTTTTTTTTAAATGGTGGCTTTGGGTTGGCTATTCGACGTTGGGCTAACGTCGGCTGAACGTTGGTCCATCGTCTCAATTTTAAATTTTAAATGTTGGCTTTTGGCTGGCCATTCGATGTTGGGCCAATGTTGGCTAAACGTTGGTCCATCGTTTCAAATTTTACTGAGAAATGGTGGATATATGTTGGCTAATATACGCGACGTTGGGCCAACCCGGGGGCCAACCTTGGCTTAACGTTGGTCTATATCGTCTCCATCTTTACTGATAAATAGTGCATATATATATTGGTTGGCTATATGACGTTGGGCCAACGTAGCAAATACGACCTAGTACCGCTACATCCGGGTAAAAAAAATTGCATGCGTGCGCATGCCCATGTGCTCATGCAATTGCAACGTACGTCAGCCATATCCTGTCCATTTGTCTGGATCAGTTGCCGGGGAGTACCAACACTGCATGGTAAATGAATGATTTTCTTTCTCTTTCAACGTTATTTTTGTGAGCATGTCGCGTGAAACTGATAAATTGTATAGTGTGAGAACTCCCCGTCACAAAGCGAGGGAAATAGCATGAGAAATTGTTAAAGTAATCATTGATAATTCCCTGTCCAAATGAAAGTGAAAGTGAGTACGAGCTAGTGTACTGCTCGTCGCTGCGTGCAATTGAAGTGTGAGTTATGGCTATGATGGCTATGATGGCTATGATGGGGGCCGAAGTGTCGGCATCAGATGCATTGAGTGTTTGCCGTGATAAATGTTAATATGTTCCTGACTTAGAGTTAGACCTAGGTGATGTATTGATGCATCATGTTGCAGCGTCCGTGACAGTGATGATGTTCATCCCAATATGCAATATCGACCATTGTTGGAAAGACCAATTGAATCAAATAGAGCTGAATGGGAAGACGCATCATTTTTGTATGCATATCTAAATTATATTATAGTCTCTGATACTTTCAGATTTAGAAGTAGGTCTATACTATACTCTGTAGTAGCTCAATATATGCTGATGATGATTCAGTTCGAAAAGGAATAAATTACGAGATTGAGCTGTGAATTAAGATATCCCGCTAGTACATGTTTGTAGGCTTGTAGCCTCCTGAAATCTTACAAGGGTGCCAAGTCTGCCAAAATATGCAAGAACTTTGTATTAACACATTTAGTGGATTGTGAGTGTGATGTGAAAGAGGTAGCTGGTGGGAATTACCCTCATTTTAGCATTTGCAATCATTTAAAGTCGCAATTGGCCAACCTCAATTTGATCAAATAGTAAATAGGAAAAACTATTGGGGGCGGGGGTAACACTGATCGATCCCATAATTTTCATTCACAATTTTCATTCACAAATTTGATTATTGCTGCATTTTTATTCTCATTTTCAAATTAGTTTTTATTGTTTATGCACATGTATATTAAATTGCTATAATTTGAACTGAAGGTAAATATTCTAATTATTTATTTTTAAAATTCTGACGTTCTTTATTAATACATTCAATTCTATATAGCTCTTCCAAATCCCAATACTTTTTTCTCCCATAATCCCTACAATTCTGAAATTTAAATATTAAATCCTGCATTTCATATCGTCAACTTCACAACAAATTCCAGATTCCTCTACCCGTTCAGATCCAGCTACCCCTACCTCGATCATCCAGAACAGCATCAACAGCACCAAGGACCCCTTCGACATCGACCCCATCAACCTCCAGAACACTGTCGACCCCAACGACCCCATTGACCTCAACATTCAGAAATATGGGTATGTCATTTGGCATTTTATTCATTTTGTATTTAGTTATACATGTAGACAGGATAGCACTTCTTAGTATTCGTTATAGTTGTGCCCTGCACACAAAGTACAAATGTACTGGATTAATGTACGTTTGTGTAGGACATAGCTGCTAACGGATGCTAGAATCTTTTTCCTGATTATATTGAGAAACTGTATTGTGATCACTTACAAAACTATTCACTTCAATGTTATAATGATGTGAAAGAAAATGCCACTCTTCTTCAAACATTTGTCCTAAAATTAGAAAGAATACAAACTTACTAAGGGTTTTGTGTTGTATGCAGAAAACGCAAATTTTGTATTCTTTCATCCATATTCTACTTCAAACACATTTGTTAGGGCAATATTCTATTTGCAGAAGTGTCCAGGTGTTAATGACATCCTCTTTTACATCATACCATTTAAGTGAGATTGTGCCATCTATTCTTTGGCTAATTTTGGGATCCAACACTTAAGAGGGGCTTTAAACTGTTATCAATCAAGCATCTCAACACTGAGCAAACAGATACTATAAATTGGTTCTTTCTATTGAAGAATATTACTGCCATTTTACCTCAAATGTATATTTCCTTTGTTAAGAAGAGTGTTTGATGCTACTCTAATTAAACAAGACAAAAATAAAAGAAATACATTCCTTTCTAATTTCCATACGTCTGGGTCATTCGCTCTAAAGTTTGAACGAAGTTATTTTCATGACAAAGTACTTCTATCCATGAAATGTCATCAAAACTAGGGAGGATGTGCCACTCAGGACTACTTCCCTTGAATGCCGTACTATTTGATTAATATCCGTACTATTTCAAGGTGATGTTTCCGTGATCTGCTTTTAAATCTTGTTTGGTTTCTTTCTTCTTCTTTTTTTTTGCCGCAGATGTCGAAGCTGTACCACCACAAGCTAGACAAGATTTTGATTCCGACTAACCCATTCTTTAAAGGTCCATTGCCTTAGGAAATTAAAACTTTTATGTCTTGTATCAAGACCCTTTTAAAGCAACATAATAACAATTGTTTCATAAATAAATGCCTCCTTATATTTTTTACAATGTTTTGAAAACCTCTCCAAGTTGCTCGTCTAATGGTGGACCCCGCCCCTTACAATTCTCAGAGTTCCTCGGAATGATTGACCAAAGGATTAGTGATGTTATATCAAGAACGATCTCCGCTTAGGCAAGCTACGGTGCTTGCTAGCCAGCTCTGCAGGCATTATGTTTTGTACACAAACATAAACAATAACTTTTGTTATTAAATAGTGTGCTATGCATCTTTACTTGTTATTTATTGTGGTGAAATTTCACTAATGGCCCAATTTTAAAAAGAGAGCTATACCATGAGTCGAAGAAGGTCGTAATTGATTTGAATGCCTGTATAACGTGTCAACTATAAATGCATGCTATAAAGAATTTCAAAGGTAAGAAAAAAATGTTTCATATATCTAAGTGACTGAATGTTTTTCGCATTACCTTCTTCTCAATTTAAAGAAATATTGAAAGTGGTATATCAGAGTGAAGAAACTTGTGTTTTTCCCTTTACAAGCTCTGCTCTTTCTTACTTCACTTTCAAATTTCCTCTCTTGTTATATAAACATTTAGCGATTGCTTTACTTCACACATTCAAGCAATGTATACTATCCCTCCTAAAAAAAAACAGTTTGTAGATGTGTTAACAATAGATATGGCGACGAAATGTATCAGCATCTCTGAAATGCTTAAGCATAAAAAATGTTGGCAATTTCTCTGAATTTTTATTTTTTATTTTTTATGGAACATTGTTTACATTAATTGCCTAGTTCTTGGTATGCAAATGGTGGACACTTTATTAATTTCTTTATATTTTTGTGCTGTACATATGTAGAGGAATCTTGTCATAAGCAATCGTGTTCGTCTGCCAGAAAGTTTGTTTTGTTTTACTCGGGAAGTTGTGAGGATTGTTTATTATATTCGTACAATGAATTTCAGTATGTTATGTTGTGTTACGTGTAAGCGACAATTCATTTTTATAACAGCTCCTATCGTCCTAGCATTCATTGATAGTAGGCCTATATTGTGACACATTGAGATACCTTGAACTTGAAACTATGTTTACATCTTTTTCGAATTCAAACGAAAATACAAAAGAAAGATGTACAATAATTGTATTACATTTACAACAGTTTGTTTATTACACATAAAATAAAGTATGTTTTATCACAAAATTAGTTTATTTTCCTTGTTCTTTTGTTTTGGAGGGAGGGGGGGGTGTATTCAGAGCAAATTCTAAGAAGCAAGATGGTGAACTTTTCATTAAAATGGGACAAATAAGTTGTTATCAAGTTTTGATAGTGATTAAAATGTACAAGATAATAGACATGACGAAATTAAAATAACATGTCCCTCTTGCTTCAATATTGTTATTATACATATCTTCCAGAGGGATCTAAGTCGAGTTCTATAATGAACTTTTCTCAAATTCAGTCTAATTTTGATGAAATTGTTACTATCTTCATTTTGTGGATTTTGCTCTGTTTATTTATTTAATCCAATCTTAAACTACTTGGCTTTTCCTTGTCACGTTGTGATGCATGTGTTTGAATGATTGTACATGTCCGATGTAGTATGATCTTGACGATGTTCTTATGAACGGACGACTGATGTTGGTGGGAATATGTTTTTGAGTTGGTGTTGGTAATGTCAGAAGGATGTTGGCATGAACTGGAAAGGGGAGGTACAACGTCGGCACATGGTGGGATACGGGTTGGCATAACGTTGCTTCTACGTCGGCAAATGGTGGAGAAGAGGTTGGCATAACGTTGGTCTAGCATTGGCACATGGTGGGAAAAGGGTTGGCATTATGTTAGGACAACGTCGGGGAGACGTCGGCACATAGTGTAAAAGGGGTTGGCATTACGTTGGTCCTACGTCAGGGAGACGTCGGCACATAGTGTAAAAGGGGTTGGCATTACGTTGGTCCTACGTCAGGGAGACGTCGGCATATGGTGGAAAAGGGGTTGGCATTACGTTTTTCCTATGTCGGCATATGGTGGGATAGGGGTTGACATGACGTTGGTCATACGTCGGGGGGACGTTGGCCCGATGTTGGCTTAATGTCATTTCGTCGCTGTCGAGCCAACGTTGGCCCGCCGGCAAGAAAGCCGTTGGCCCAACATCACATTGGCGACGATGGCGCAACGTAACAGCCCACGACGTCGGCACATGGTGGGATAGGGGTTGGCATAACGTTGGTCCAATGTCGGAACTACGTCGGCACATGGTGGGATAGGGGTTGGAATAACGTTGGCCCTACGTCGTGGAGACGTCGGCACATGGTTGAAAAGGGGTTGGTATAACGTTGGGCCAATGTCGAGGAGACGTCGGCACATGGTGGGATAAGGGTTGGCATAACGTTTATCCAATGTCGGAACAACGTCGGCACATGGTGGGATAGGGGTTGGCATAACGTTGGTCGTACGTCGGCACATGGTTAAAAAAGGGTTGGGACGACGTTGGTCCAATGTCGGAAAGACGTCGGCATACGGTGGGAAAGAGGTTGGCATAACGTTGGTTCAATGTCGGGAGGACATCGGCACATATGGTCGGATAGGGGTCGGCATAACGTTGGCCCGATGTTGGCTTAATGTCATTTTGTCACTGTCGGGCCAACGTTGGCCCGCCGGCAAGAAAGCCGTGGGCCCAACATCATGTTGGCGACGTTGGACCAACGTAACAGCTTACGTTGGCCCCACGTTGGCGTAACGTCGTATTGTTATCTGGGAAGAACATTACAAACCTATACTAAACCATAACACTTTAATTGCAGAAGAACACTGAAACAGCTTTCATAAAAAGTGTTTGATTTGGTAGGGGTAGAATGTGTATCAATATGAAATCTTTTGCTATTATACTGCAATAGAACCTTATAAAACCTTATCAGAATGAGATCAGGTGTACCATGCACTGCTAGGTATAGATATATGCTCATCAACATGATCTAGCAGCAGGAGAGAGATTAGGAGTAATAAATAATTCATATTCAGAGACGGATCCCCTTTCTATTGGAGTGTAATATTTAGGATGATAACAGAAAAAGGTGCTCTTTGATATTAAACCTTGTGTAACATCACGCTAATCCACTTCAGGTATTCCACGTTTCAACTTGATGCATGCATGGTCATCACGTAGCCTTCTCAAAAATTAATACCCCATTTCCTGAAGATTAAAAATCAATTTCCCAAACTGGAATCTAGTTGATGAGCGTATTATCATTATGATGTCCTCCATTCTGCTATTGACTGTAAGTCATTTTGTGCCAGACATGCATGGCCAATTTGAAAGACAGACACCATATTTGAAGAAAAATAATAATTTAAGAGATCAGTTTGCAACGTACATTTGGTTGCAGCTTTTTTCTGAGGGCCATTTCTTTACAAAAAATGTGATCATTGCAAGGGATTTGATCTACTTACCCTATCTATAACCTGTAAAAAGTTCTGAAATTCTTTTGTGAAAATTCAGTTATTCTTAACACTAACAACACAATGTACATTTTTCTTCCTCTTAAATGTCTTTTAATTATACAAGGGTGAGTTCAGCATTATCAAAATGGAAACTTAATTCAGTGTACTACATAGACTTAATTTGGGTTCAGCCTGAAAAGTGCAATCGAAACTTTTTTCAGTAATACAAGGCAAACTTTTCCATGCAAAACAAAGTTTGATCTTGAAATTGGCAACTGAGGTGATACTTTTTTCATCCTTGTTTGTTTAACTCTTTGTTTGCTTTGTTCGCCGATTTGCACGGACGTAGGCGTGCCAACTTCGCATTTTTGCACAGATGTATACGAGTCAATTAGACATTCATAATACCGCTCGCAGTGTGTAGCCACGCGTTGCGTTTACTATTGTTTACATTGTATACATCGCACACTTTCCGGTAAACTGTTTTTCTTCATAGTGTTACATTCGAAATTACCGTGTATTTAGCGGTTTTCTTTGGATTTTTTTTACTGATGTTACGATGGCACCTGCTGGAAAACGTCAACGTGTGTTTAGTGTAGAGGAGGCTCGAGATCTTGTTACTATGGAAGCATGGAGCATGGACTCTGATTCCGACGAATCGAGCAGTGACGAAGACTCTAGTGATAAAAGTGTTCCCTGAGAGTAGACTGATAGAATAAGAATGAATAAAAATTAATGAAAGAGCTAGAGATGACAGCAAGAAAGAGAGTAGACTGATAGAATAAGAATGAATAAAAAAAATGAAAGAAGGAGATAGAGATGACAGCAAGAAAGAGAGTAGACAGTGATAGAATAAGAATGAATAAAAATAATGAAAGAAAGAGATAGAGATGACAGCAAGAAAGAGAGTAGACTGATAGAATAAGAATGAATAAAAATTAATGAAAGAGCTAGAGATGACAGCAAGAAAGAGAGTAGACAGTGATAGAATAAGAATGAATAAAACTAATGAAAGAAAGATGTATCCTGTCTTGCCGTCATCTTTATATCTTTCTTTTATTATCTTTATTCATTCTTATGCTATCAGTGTTTACTCTCTTTCTTTCCGTCATCTCTATCTTATTATTATTATCATTTTCCTATCTATATGTACCCTATGTCTTGCCGTCATCTGTATATCTTTTTCTTATTATCTTTATTCATTATTATGCTATGAGTGTAATACTCTCTTTCTTGCCGTCATCTCTATCTCATTATTATTATCATTTTCCTATCTATATGTACCCTATGTCTTGCCGTCATCTCTATATCTTTCTCTTATTATCTTTATTCATTCTTATGCTATCAGTGTTTACTCTCTTTCTTTCCGTCATCTCTATCTTATTATTATTATCATTTTCCTATCTATAATTATGTACCCTATGTCTTGCCGTCATCTCTATATCTTTCTCTTATTATCTTTATTCATTCTTATGCTATCAGTGTTTACTCTCTTTCTTGCCGTCATCTCTATCTTATTATTATTATCATTTTCCTATCTATATGTACCCTATGTCTTGCCGTCATCTGTATATCTTTCTCTTATTATCTTTATTCATTCTTATGCTATCAGTGTTTACTCTCTTTCTTGCCGTCATCTCTATCTTATTATTATTATTATTTTCCTATCAATATGTATCCTATGTCTTGCCGTCATCTCTATATATTTCTCTTATTATCTTTATTCATTCTTGTGCTATCAGTGTTTACTCTCTTTCTTTCCGTCATCTCTATCTTTTTATTATTATCATTTTCCTATCTATATGTACCCTATGTCTTGCCGTCATCTCTATATCTTTCTCTTATTATCTTTATTCATTCTTATGCTATCAGTGTTTACTCTCTTTCTTTCCGTCATCTCTATCTTATTATTATTATCATTTTCCTATCTATATGTACCCTATGTCTTGCCGTCATCTCTATATCTTTCTCTTATTATCTTTATTCATTCTTATGCTATCAGTGTTTACTCTCTTTCTTTCCGTCATCTCTATCTCATTATTATTGTTATTTTCGTATCAATATGTATCCTGTCTTGCCGTCATCTTTATCTCTTTCTCTTATAATCTTTATTCACAGTAAAGTCCTTTCATTTCATATCACTATTTCTCTCTCATAATGTCTCTCACGTCCGTTCTCCATATTTTATTCATTGCATACTCCACTCGTCAATCATTTCTGATAATAAGCTCTCTCACAATAAAGTAAATGGAAAACAATGCAATATAGTTTATATTTTAAGATTGATTCATTCTTTCTTTGTATATCTATGGCTGTGATAAATGTACTTGAAATCAATTTTATTGAGGGGTAAAGAAGGTGAGAGAACAGATGCGGTGAACATTCATAATGAGACATTTCAATAAGATGCTGATTATGTCATGTATATCACATATAATATATTATGCCTATACCATTTTTACATGCTCATACCAGTGGGCAAAATCAATAACATTCTCTTATTTCTTATTGACTTATCATGGCACAACAAAGAAAAACATCCCCACGACGTCCCTTTTCATGCCCCGCTAAACCGGACATTGACAATAACCTGGGGTAATAGGGATTTCAATGGGCAGATTAGCCCATTGTCAAGGGTGGCTGAGCGGGGTACTTTCAAGTCTCTCCCTATTGAACTTCTTTTCTTCAACAACCTAAATACTAACCTTCTGAATTGTTAGAATACTTGAGCAAGGTATGTAAAGAAAGGTAAGAAGTCCACCTTTCTAATAGATTCGATTTGAAGATGTCTTATCATTGCTAAATAAGAAATTCTAGAGGGATAAAAAACTGCCGTAAATAAGAAAAATTAAACATTATATAATTATGATTATTATAAAAATGATAATTCAAAATATAACAAATGACGGTTCATCGAAAAGCACGTTTTCCGGTCTACAACTTTGCTGCACAATATTTTTCATCATGATCATCCAGTGAAGAGTTATAGCCTCTTGATTCAGCAGAGTCAATAAAGATTCCCTCGAAATGTGTGACCCTAAAAGAATGTGGCACAGGGGGGTTTTTTAAGTGGCGCATAAAGAGTTAAATCTGGGAGCATGGGCATGCAATATTCATCTTTTCCGATCTCAAAAGGCAAACACATCACTTTCCCATTCATTGATAATCCCCCAGCAAATATGGTGAAGGGGATTAGAGTTATCTAGTTACGCTGCAAATGCCTGCGAGATCCTGTTTTTCTATCCACTGATCAAGGCTCGTAATCAGATTGCCTCATGCCGCACTGGTTCCTGAAGATGATTTGATAGCGCATCCTTTCAGGGTCACATGATATTTCATATTTAAAATGAGAGGAGAGAGGGAGGATGAAGATGTGAGAACGTCTTGATGGGATTTCAATACTCGTTGAGTTTGTATAGGGCAAAAAATGGTGTTTGATTCCAGTCAAGATAGTTACATGGAATGGGTCGATTGAAACAAAATAACCCCATACAGCTGAATGTAATATAAGAATGAAATTTTATTACTTATCCATTACTTTTTTAAAGAGTCATTCTATATTTTCTCAACCTTTGTAAGGTTTCACAGATAGATAACTATTTGGGAATCTTCCCTGATTTAAGCAAAACAAAGATAAAAGTATTTTATGCAAAGGATACAATTTTTTGTTCTCAGAAATGTAATAGCTGACAGAAAGTGCTTACTCCTCTACTTCTACCTCTATGAAGAGAGAATCCAGTAGTATTGTTGATTGCATTGTTATTTTGGATGCAAACCTTTTCAATTATTCTAATGAAAAGATTCGCGATGATCTCTAAATGCAACCTCCTAATATAATTAAATCCTTCTCTTAATTGCCCCACGAGCCATCCGAATGAGGAGAAAGACATAAATCCAGAATCCTATGGGACACTTGAAAGAGCCAGTCCGACCACTTGTGTGCGGCGGTGAGGAGCCGGAAAATTGGGTCGTTTCATGGGAGATTGGTCATGTGAAGAAAGTAAATGGGGAGGGGGTCCCCCATGGGTTCTAAACACAGGCTATCCACCATCTTGCTTCTATGGCTTTCTTAATTAAACATAAATTTCCAATAGAGGTTTTTAAAAGTCCCACCAGGGACACCTGTTCGCAACTATGAATACAAAATTCTGCAGAATATATTAAGTGATATATAGAATATTTTTCAAAACAACACATAGATGTACTGTGCAAATTGCAGTACAGGGAAAATAAGATTTCATTCTATAATAAATTAGCACTTATGTATCTACCCTATGCATTCTAAGGAACCGTACATTTAGAAGATGAGATCAGTTAAAATAAATTAATTTAAAGAGCTTTCCTGGACAATACCACTTCTCAATATCCCCTTTAAATTTCCATTACTCTGAAATGCAGATTAATACATCAATTTCCTCCTACATACTTGACTTCTATTAAATGAAGACATTTTAAACTCTTGAGACATCCACAACATGGAAAACCCTTGAGCAAGCACGGGGATATTGAATACCAATGCAACATGGGATTCTGACTTACCCTAAAATTGTAATCAATCGCAACAGTGTGCCACTCCCCATCGCTGACTCCTCCCTGTCTGGATGCGGTTACCGTGGTGACAATGCTACCGGTGGAGAAGGAGAATCGAACCTGGCTGTTGACGATCTCCAGGGCGATGAAGTCATGCTGCTGGTTGTAGCGGCCATTGTAGAAGATCAGTCCGTTGGGCTCCGTGGAGGAAAAGCTGAAAGATGAAAGGATTTCAATTGATTAAGGAATATTCAAGATTATTCATCGACTTGAATTTTATAGGTGAAGAGAAATACCAGCATTTCTCATCAGAGCATGGTTATGAAATCTCTCATTTGTGATTCTAGAGATTCAGCATCTATGCTAGAAGCCAAGTATTTGTGCACTGCATATCCACACATTGTTTTCATAAACAGTAAAATCATTTTAAAATGTCAGGTGTACTGTTGAAATGTTATTACTCATTGAAAAATAAACACAATTGTATAGTTAAGAAAAGCTAAAAAAAAGGAAAAAACTTTCTGGAGTTGATTTAGTGCAAATTGTAATGTAAATATTGTAATGTCATTTTCTTGAATTTCTGATAAACAACCAGATTTCAGATTTCATCAATTTTGTAAAACTTTCTCTTTCCTACACTTTGAGGTTTTGGTAACAACTCCACACCAAGACATTGCCAAACATGGAAAATAAAGATGTAAATGAATGTAAATTAGCACACTAGTGAATTAAATTTCTTGCGAGATCTAGAATAGAATCTAGGATTAGATATCTCCGCTTGACTTGATGGAAGAGTGCAGGATGAGACATCGCCAGTACAATGACTTGTTGATCATCGTAAGCTTGCCTATATCCATCAACCGCACCTTCCAACCACCATCTATTTCTGCAGACAACGCAGAGATCTCACCTCAAAGATTTCAGAAGGGGACTTTGGTCGGTCAGGATGGATTGAATAATTGGAAGATGTATCGTCGGTGACATGGGTAAATTTGAACAAGGCCTGAATCATTAGGACACTGGTGAATCATAGCAATGGAAAGGCCAAGACAATGTAAGAAGGGTATCACAAGAGGCTTTGTCGTGCAGCGCTTGGGCTGGGAGATGTGTGTCGGTTTGATTAGAAGGGTTATTGGGGTGAGATGGATCTAGAATAAAAGGCGCTTAAAATGTCAGGTTAAAAGTGCCCATCTTGGCAACTTCGTTATCTACATGTACAAGACTTTCCCTGTGTTTGTTTGGTTCCTCGTCTTCAGTGTACTGAAAAATATGTACACTGCCACTGGCAAGCAGAGTTATAACTTGACAGAATATTTGGTTGCAATGGGCAAGCTGATTTATAGCCTTTTGAATACAGAGTTCTTTTTTTATTGTTCTAAGAGTATTCATCAAAATATTAAATCTTCATTTTCACTGAACGTTAAGTTTCAGTTAATTTTTTAAAGAAAAAAACAAACAAATCAGCTTTAAAAAAAAATTGTTTCCTTCCTTTAATTCTTATCATTTTCATTTCTCAACATTTTTATCTTATAAATGCTCTATAAGAAGCTTTTTTCTAAAAACACCTGAGTGTGTGTGTTTTTTAAACAAAATTATGAATTATGTGATTCTGCATGTACATATTTCCCATAAATCAGAATCTTTCTGACTCCAAACTACCATCTGTTTGTTTGGTATCAAATCGTAAAGCATTTTCATATTAAAAATCAATCCAACCTATACAAAAATTGACATTGAAAATTATACTTCAAAATTGAGTTTGATACATGGCTCATTTCATTCCATAGTGTCCATCCTTGGGCCGATCCCTTATGACATTGAAAAAGGGTAGATGAGTTAGATCAAACATAAATGGCAATATATAAGCTCCAATCATATTGGTTATAATTTACGTCAATCACATGGGTTCTTATCCATATTTTTCCACCTTTGAATAATAGTAGGTTCTCACGACAGTCCACGAACTCTAAGTTTAGGCTGTGTTTTTAAACTTCAAAGTGATCTTGTAGTCAAAGACCGTGTGGACGCACTCATGGTTACAACATTTTGAGTTTATACAAAGTTATAAACCATTAGCAACTTTAAGGTTAGCTCAAAGACTATGAGCAGCTGGGGTCCTCCCCCAAATTTATAAGCAGTGCTGACATAATTAACTTTGGGGTTATGCCAGCTTGTAGTTGAAATAAACGCTCTCCTGGCTTGTAGTTTAAAACTTTGAATACTGTGTTGTTTTGGTCCCTGTTTTGGTCCCACATGAACTATTACTGTTGTTAGTTCATCTTGATTTATAACTTTGATGTTTCGAAAACGTAAAGTTTAAAACTTCAACAGTCCCATGTAAACATAGCCAATATAGATATTTTCACAAAAATTTGTTGAGTATAGTGACTTCTTCCGCCTGTCTTTACACTATATGACCACCACAGGAAAGCATTTATCATGTCAGAGACATCTATTGACCTCCATAGACAAATATAATCTTGATTCAATTATTACAAAATCAGAAGTATCTGCCTCTTTTTATTCTTTGCCTCAGCGATGCCTCAAGGCACCAATCACATTTATTCTTTCTAACCCTTGTTGGGAAGATAGCAAGAGATCAAAATACATCTCTATCATATCATTTTCTAATAGCTGCCTTGTGATAATAGCTTCAGAATTTGGCAGAATAAATCATGTTTTGACACAATTGAATGGGAGTTTTGTGTCTGTTCTGATTATTTCATACATGAATTTGAACTTGTTGATTGAATTGGCACACAAAACTCCCAACTATTTAGGATTGCAGTAATTGTGATAAATGAACCATTTCAGGTCAAATGTCAAAAGCAAACTGTTTTCCTACATGGGCAAATGCACAATAATTCTATGGTGTCCCATCTGTTAATCCATAAATGGCAGAGTTTTTGCATGATGGTTTAGCCACAATAGATGGGTCACACAGCGTTCAAAGTGCTATGTATGAATTCAGTGTAATGCACAATATCAGGTAAAAATTGAATGCTTTGTACAGTGTCTCATCATGGCAGCAGGCCTATTACAAGGTAAAAACTTGAAACATTTTTGGATACATGTGCAAAGAGAAATATAACATACACTTTAAATCTTTTGCACAATAAGAGTACGGAATAACATTCTTTTTATCATTATTGAATGAACATGTAAGATTGCAGACTTGCACACCAGAAGGCCTTTGAGGCAAAAACCGCCCACATAAGGTTCCATACACAAATCTGCTACCGCAAACAATGGATACATTTCTCTTTCATTACTTGTTCAACACAGTGCCTACCAACTCCCTGTTCAACATAGTCATGGCCATTCACATTACACATAATGCATAATTGATGAATAAAATGCAGTTTGTAAATTAGCAATAAATATTTAAATACTAAAAACAATATTTTAAAATGCCACATAGAGTTGATGTATGACAATATTTTTTTTGAATGTGCACTTGATACAATCATCGTTGTTGTATTTCTTATTGTTTTTTCAATAGATATTATTCTTATTGTTTAGTACCGTTATTGATTAATGTTGTTTATTGTTTACCTGACAGACAGTTGGAGCCTCACTCTCTGACTCAGCGACCAGAACATCATGAACGATTTAGGCGGAAAGTTCCGCGTCCGAACCTCGCAGAAAGGACCGTCAAACTCGTACGGGTTGGGACAGCTACAATCAAAGCCCCCATTGAGGAAGTTTCGACAGGTTCCTCCATGCTTGCAGATGCTATCTGTTGAGCCAGTGCAGCGCTCAGTACCGCTGTCAATCTCACAGTTGGTTCCTGGATAAAAATGAAAGCAAGAGTTTCTATCATAAATAAAAGTATATCCATGTAATCCACTATGTTACTTCTGTGTATATAATCTGGTATCATTTCGGTGCAATGTCATGCAATGTTTTTAAGTATATGATTATAAAGAGATTGAGTTTGCATTCATAAAGTGCATAGAGATAGATACATATGAAGTACTTGAATATTACTGTTAAAGTTACATATACATGTAAAATGGATGATAATTTGAAAGTCATATTTGAGGATAAGAACATTTTCAATCACAGAATGATATAGAATTGTTGAAGATTGAGCTAGAAAATGTTTGGATAAAAATCCGGATTGCAAATGCAGGTAATAAAAGTAAAGTCATAGTATATATCATGTCCAATTTATTCATGAGAAATTAAAATCATGCTTCAAACAGGTGTCCTAAAAATACACTTTTATCATCTTTTTGTCTTCTAATAATTTGCAGTGACATTGACTCATAACATCGCCAGTAAACAAATGTGACATTAATGTTGCTATGCATATCTACATTTCATATCTGAAAAAGCAGTCTTGTCAACCACATACACAACAAAATTAATTTCGCATCACTCCTTCCCTGCGGAAGTTATGAGTCAAGGTCGCCGCAAGACAATGAGAGAAAAATAAAAGTTTGGAAATACACCCCGACTAGAGAAAGGATGACACCCTGGGAGAAAATGAAAAAGAAATCTAGATGGATATTCAATTTCTTGCCACCTCTTTGTTCACTACCCAATGACAGTCTAGCACAGATCAATACCGTCGCACGAGGTTTATGAGAGGGCCTCTGATGGGAATATTAAACTGTGAATATGGGTGGGGGTAGCTAGCGAAGTGAGAGGAAGTGATTAGGAGGGAGAGAGTCAACGTGCTTCAAGGAAGAGGTACAAGGAGAAAGAGTGAGAGAGAGAGGGACAGAGGGACAGAGAGACAGAGAGGAATACAGATGGTTTAAGAGAGTCGGGAGGAGAGATTGGACTATTTCTTAAGCACATAAGAAACTGTAATACAAATCTTGGTTTCATGAGGGATGGAGAATAGACAGGGACGAAGAAAGAGAGAGAAGAGATCTAAAAAGACAGTGAAAGATCTCCAGGAATAACAGCAGAGAGAGAGAGAGAGAGAGAGAGAGAGAGTAATAGAGATGAAAGTGATCCCTTCAACATTATGTACAAAACAGTCAAATCCAGTTTATGCAAGAAGGAATTGAGGCACTAGGGTGCAGGTGCATTGAGTAGCATTACACTTCCTATGAATAATGCTGAATATAGGAAATTACTGATCAACGTCTGTTTCTTTTAGAGCATATATGACTTTGAGGGTTTACTCTAGAAGTCATGTGATGTGTTGCTAGGTATCTAACCAAGTGTTCAGTTAAGGTGTGTATATCGGATGTCTGCTAAGCTGGAGGGTGACACAGTTATTACTTTGTTCTATGATGATGATGGCTGAAGGGACACATAATTAGCTCTGTATCACATGCAATTTGGAAAGAAATGCATGTTTGTGTACATTACAAACAAACAAAGTTACAAACCATGGTCACTTTGAAATTTATTTCAATCCATAAATGAAAAATTTGCATATAAAGGTACAGTCAGAGGAAGAGTTTTTAAATGAATATAACAAGATATCAAAGTGTTTCCTTGCCCACTGTCATATGAAGCTTATATTCATGATGACCATTTGCCATTTTAAAATGTAAAGGTTCGGATCTGCTTCTGAAGTAATATCTCTGATCTTAGCTAGTTGACTATTTAATATTCTTACAGGTATTCCCTTAAGCTTAATGCAGGAACCATTAAATTTCAAGAAGGAATTGGACAATTGGTTAACTATCTATCATATCAGCCGTTCCTCTTATCTAGCAATGCTACTTTAGCTATCAGAGAAGGAAGACATTCTGAGTCACATCAAACATACGATTTTCATCATCTGCTCCTGGTAAAGATTTAGCAAAGAGCAAAGAAGATGCTCAAATATATCTAATCAAGCAATGCAGAGCATCAGCTCTACATCATACACCTCTACAGAGGGTCTATGCTAATTAGGAGACAAAGACAGAAGGGAGGGAGAGAGAGTGGCTAGTTTGCCTGAGGATAAATGCATGGACAAATCATGGCCTGAAGACAGGAGTGGTAGGGATTAACCCTAAGTTATAGGATTATGGTAGGGTAACGCAGAGTGGGAACATAGAGAGCGAGGCATAGGGGAACATAAGGAGCGAACTCTCATGAGAAATAGGGTCAATGCTTCAATGCACCGAGCAAGTGACAATGTCATGCACTTTAAAGAGGATCATTTTGGGGAGGATTGAGAACTTGTTGGGTATTCCTTTCACAGAAATTAAATGAATTACATTCATGGAGAGTCAGACCTCGAGATACTGGAGGATAGATGTACAGATGGAGAAGTACAGAGGAAACAAGAAAGGTTTATGAGATAGATTGTGAGACAAGAAAGGAAAAGTGTTGCAAAAAATGTAATGCAGTGCACACAAAGAGATAGATGAGGGAACTGAAGAATGTCTGGGGAATTGAGAAAGGGAAGCAAAAAGACAGAGAAAGAGTAGAGAGGAAGGAAGAAGGGATAGAGAAATGATCATCTTATGTAGATGTGGACTTAGTATCAACGTAAATAGACTACATGTACGTTTAATTCCGAATGTATATGTATAAAGCAGCTATTTTTATTATAAGAATACCTGGGGGCAATTACACTTGAGTGATATAGGGAGTATCAATATGTAACGTGAAATGTAATCAAATTTTGTGTAGGTAGAAGTACAATCTACACTTGTAAATATGTTAATATTATCAAATAGTGTTATCAACCCATTCAGTTAAAGCAGTAGTCTTAACAATTACGGCCATGGATTTAAACCTTCTTGATGTTTAGATTCACCTGATTTATTCACTGATGTACAACCTACATTACAATGTTTTGGGTTATGGATAAAAACCTTTAAAGAGCTTTTCCAAAAAACTTTTATAGTTTAAATTCATCTCATTCATTTACGAATACTCAACCCTACATCATGATGGTCAGAGGTAACCCAAGGAGGTCTGAAGGGGTTCTCAGCTGATGACACTAATGGAATGAGGAGGTTCAACGTTCCCCAGGGGAACCTAAGATGACTGGATCATGTGCCGGCCGTGGCAGCCATGTTTGCACACGTGCCCCTAAAATCTGATTACCTGCTACCCTAAAAATGAAATTATACTGGATCCCCATCTATCCACCACTCCATATTTCCTCCAAGGGATAGTCCGTCCAAATTGTGACACTTTGGGATGAAGTAAGAGGGCAAATATTTCCATAAGAATTTCGCTGTATTTTGTGCAGGCATGCAATGGCTCTCCATTCATATTGGTAGCTGTAAGTTTTGAATAAAACTTGTAAAGACTATTCACACAAATTATCAAGGGATTGTGCAAAGTCACTTCATATCAGCTATTCATCTGCAATCCATTGAATATAGGTATATGAATTTAATTATCAACAATGGTTGAAAAAGAATAACTGCAAACACAGTTATAGGTGGGTTTAAAAACATAGATTTAAATGCAACAGGTCAATGGAAGCTGATTGTATATTAAACACTCCTTTGTTGAAACAGTAACTATATCGTCGCTTGCCCGCACAAAGGCCGCTAACGCGTTTCGCGGTTCAAAAGTTAGTTCCGAGATATCGCGTTTTAAAAGGTTTAAACTCACAAGTCTTCTTTAACAGAGAAAAATCACATATGAATACGTGGATTTTGGCATACTCTATTAGACTGGCAATTTATTTTTGCAAAACAAGCACTATTTTTTTAGTTATCGTCGATTTAGTGTTAGTGGCTTTTGTGCAGTGAGTTGAACGCGCTGGGCGTTCCCTGCACAAAGGCCGCTATGCGCGTAACGGCTTTTGTGCAGGCACTAAACATGCGCGTTCTATGCACAAAGGCCGTACTCTACGTGTTGTAGGTATGCGCTGTAATTTGTGCAGTTAGTTTCCCCAAAGTTGTAATTCTGTTTACGCATCCAGTTGCGGATCCTTGGCAGGGGCGGGGAGAGGGGGGGGGGGGGGGGGGGGGGGTTGAGTAAAAAAAAAATATTGCTCATTAACCCCCCCCCCCCCCCCCCCCCGCTTATGCGCCCTTTTTTTCTCACGAATTGTCCTCCCCCCCCCCCCTTCCTCGCCGCCGGCTGGATCCGCCTCTGCACACATCAGTAATTTGTGTGCTTCTCTGTGGAAAAGAGGGGCTTCTTTTCTTTATTTAGTTTATTGCTGATACACTTATAATATATTTGTTTTGTTTTATTTCGCCAATATTAATCCTTCTTCATCTTGTACATAAAATTAATGAAATGGGCTAGTTAAATGGATAAGCAGGGCCGTTACTTATTGTTTGTTTTTTTGTTTGCACAAAGGCCGTACTCTACTTTTTTATTAGGGGGGGGGGCGAGAGGTATCTCAACATAAAAATATACCACTGAGATAAAGTGTCAGTGTTGATTTAGCTAAACATATTGAAGTTGGGTGGGGGCGGTCTCACATTCTGTAACATTATCTTGTCATTTTATTTTGGGGTCATGTGCTATTTGCAACCTATAGCTATAGCAATGAAAAGGGGAGGAAAGCCACATTTGGATTCTATTGTTTGCCCATTGTGAAACTAGACTTATTATTTTATCAATTTGTACGGATTCAGCCAAATTATATAAATATGCACTGTCTGATAAGTTTAGAGTTCAACAAATATCTTAATAAAACCGTAGACGTCTCTCTCGTTCACTAACTATACAGTCAACCACTTTTATGCATGCTTTATTCCAATTATTCATCAAACACTGTACGTTCCCAGTAAGAATCTATCATTTTCATTGTCGGTTCAGGAATAATGAATGACACAAAGGCTATTTTTAAGGAACAAATTAGAAATGTCCATTTATTATATCTTGTTCAATAATTTATTATATCTCGTTCAATAAATTTCAAATTCCACTGATAAATTAATTCAATCATAAATTAAAATAAGTTATATTATAATCATTTTCTCTCTCTATTTATATACAGTATACAATGTAAGTACAAACTATTTAATTCATGCCACAATGCAGTACTAAAATCCCAATTCAATTTTTTTTAAAGATATTTACATTACTATAGTAAAACCACAAAGAACTTGTGCTTCTATTTTCTAAAATCAAATGAGTATCAATATTGTGGTGCCACGTGATTTTAGTAACAATTATACAATTTAATTAGTGCATACGTCATACACTGTTTTCACACTGAAATAAATAAATGAAAGATCGACAATCGACATAGTGTGGTACGGTATGTCACTGAAACAGCTCCCATAGGATTTTTGTGCCAAAGTTGATTTTTTTTTTGTGTGGAATTTTTGGATTCATGGGGTCCAAGCTATCAGAAATTGATGGGGTTCAAATTGTCCAGAAGAAACCAAATTTTCCTATTGCGCGTTAAATATGCCATTTTGGCGCCCAATACAGACCCCCCCCCCCCCCCCCCCCCTTTGCTTCCATTGGCTTTTTTGACATTGAAAAATACAAATGATAGAAAATACAATATAACGTTTAACAATAGAAAAAAATGTACATAATAATGGATAATTATTTATAATGTGCAAGTGCCCCTTAATTTCATATTGTGTACAATTAACATAAATAAAAATGTCTCATAATATAATATTTCCTGTCAACTCCCCCCCCCCCCCCCCCCCATCCGCTAGCTCCCGATCCACAGTCATCCGTTTAATTGCACTTCAATAGCAGCTATTGAAGTGCAACTAAACAGATAGCTATCGAAAACAACAATAACAATTTCAAATCCAGTATGAAATATATGATTATGGAGATAGGTAGATAGCCTTATGTATACAGTTATCGCGTCACAGTTGAATTATACACATGTATACACATTCACTACATGAACATCATATGAATCCATAAACATTTGGCAGGATAATTGATATCTTGTGTACATACAAAATACAAGCAATGTCCATATTCCTGCCAGTCCCCCGAAAAATAAATCCATAGAGATATTACAAACAAAATACATTTAATTTTAGTTATTTGATAATACAAAGTTTGTTTATCTCCTCTCTTTGTCAGGTTTGTATGTTATTGATCATTTTAAATTGTCAGCATTCATTTCTATACTACAAGAAACATGATTGTCTCACATTTTCCTACACAAGTTTCTATTTCGGGCAAGTAACAGCATATCATTCTTATATATTATTCCACTTAACGAGTTTGATTTAATTTATTGTTAATCAGTTGACAATACATTTAAGAATGTGAACAAGATATTTGTTCAGAAGCAGATATATCTATTCTAACCTGTCATGAGTTCACAATTGCAAAAACAAAAATTGTAATTTTGCTTTGACATTTTTAGGTGCTTTAATTGGTATGGCACTAGCAGAATTGTATATTTGTGTTTTTACTTATAACATAGCGTTTCTGCCTCGTCCATTCTAAATCGAGTAGACAAAATATACTGCAATGTAAATTACATACACACATGCATGAACTAGCATACCCATTGCTCAGAGAAATGTACCATTTTACTACATTTCTGTATCACTTGAACGCAGTGAAAATATTACAGAGAGAAGCCATTTTGGCCTGCTCAGCTACTGACAAGATAATAATGGACTGCAACAACCAAGTTTGCTGAGCCGGCAAAGTCTTCATTAACTGTCAACTCAAATAGAACAGATTAGTCCCACAAAAGGACAATGAAAGTGCTGTTATTGTTCCTGATTCTTGCTGCCTCACAATTTTTAAATATAAGGACTCATGTTTAAAACAAGTACATCATGTACAAGAAGTATAGCACACAAGCCTGCTTAGGGGTAAACGACTTTTTGAGAGATATATTGGACGCAGAATATCATACTATGTAAATTCTACAGCAACATTTAGATCGATCACCACCCCTGAAATGTGGTGACATAGACCTCAACTCTGGTCCATTAAATGACCATCCCCATCATTAGTACTTAAGTGAATATCTGCATAATTTGAGGGGAAACTGTAGTAAGGGAAAAGTCTCCTCCCAGACATGGAGAACAATCACCAGCCTAATTCGAATACACTCCAAGCCGGTCAGTCACAGAGGCAAAAGGGGTGGGATTAGGAGACTCCCAGCAACCTTCTCATTAGAAGCCAAGCCACCATGCTGTTGGCGTATTTAATCTATGTGCGGTTAAAAAGAACAGACGCAATCCTAGCGCAACTGTGTTTTCTGCACCTCAGTCTTCAAGCTGGCTACTGAGGTACAGGCGATTACACATGCAGGGAGAACGTTCCAGAGTCTGATGGTGTCAGGAACAAGGTTTTCTGATATGTGCAAGTGCGAGCATATGGAACATGCATCTTCATCTGATGGCCACGAAGGGAAGTTGAGGCCTGATTGAAGTATTGCGCAGCTGGTACATCACCAAGGAGTTGAGTATGTGGTACATCATTATCACCTTGAACTGAGCACGCCTTTTTTTCAAGAGTGGGCCACTTCAGACGAAGGAGCATGTTGGTGACACTACTTGTGCGACGGTGGTCTCCTACAGTAAACCTGGTGTACCGTCGTTTCTCCAGTTTCCGAATATTATCCTTGGTGAAAGGGTCCAATTAACACTTCGCTTCCATATTCCAGGACAGGTCTGAGGAGAGCCTTGTAGCATATAGCACCTTGATGTTTCTTGGGCAGGAACTCACGTTGCGTTGCAAGAAGGCTCGGGTGAAGTTTGCCTGCATGGCGACCAGGCTAATATGGTGATATTTCCAGCTCATGTTTTGATGTAGGTTTATACCAAGATACTTGGCAGAGCTAACCTTTTCCAGCGCTTGACCATGGATTGAGTATGTCTTGTTGATTGGGGTCCTCTTTTTAGTGACCGAGATAGTTTGACATTTCTGAAGATTAAATGTCATCAGCCAGTCTGATTCCCACTGCTGTAGGGAGTTGAGATCCTCTTGCAGATGCATCATCTTGAGAGCAAATCTTGTGGTAGAGGCGACAGTCATCTGCAAACAATCTGGTTGTGGAGGAAGTCTTGTATTCAGCTCAGTGTAGACCGATGGATGCCATAGAATTTCAGTTTGTATAGAAGTCGATGGTGAGGGACTTTGTCGAAGGCCTTTGAGAAATCTAACAAAATCATGTCGTCACAGGTAAGGATGAGTAATTGGGTGATATGAACGATGTTTGCGAAATCCATGCTGGGCATCTGAGAGGATGTTATTTTCATCAAGGTGCAGATGATATGCTCTAAGATCTTGCATGGAATAGATGTCAGAGAAATGGGTCTATAATTCTCTGGACTGCTCCTATCACCTTTCTTAAACACAGGAGCAGCATTTGCCGTCCTCCAGTCATCTGGAATAATGCCTTGTTCAACAAATGCTTTGAATAATGTTGCAAGTACTCTGGTGACTTCATCAGCAAGTACCTTGAGTAACCTAGCCGAAATTCCGTCCGGGCCTGTCGCTTTGAAGGGGTCAAGTCCAGATAACAGCTTGTTGACACCAGCTGGAGAGATGTCAATGTCCTCCATGGAGGGATAAGGATCGACTGTCACCTTTGTCTGGAATATTAGTTGGGCACTCCTCTTTGGTAAAAACTGATGCAAACTGTTTGTTGAGGGTATCTGCCTTGGAAGTGCAGTCAGATTGGATGATTCCTCCTGGTGACTTAAGAGGAGCAACACCAGTTGTGTATCACACTTCTTACTGTTAATGAATGACCAGAACCGTTTCGGGTTGCATTTGGACTCAGGTGAAATGATGTTCCTGATGTGGTCATTGCATGCTTGTTTGCATGCAAATCTTGACTCTTTCTTCAGAGCTCGGTACTTCTCAAAGTCTTCTTGAGTGCCAGCTAAGCTCCTAGCTTTCACATATTGACGCTTCTTTCTTCTTGATAGACGCTTCACTTTGGTGTTTATATCCAAGGTTGGTTGTACCGTATGGATGACATTTTGAGGGCACATGTTGTTCCAGGATGTCAAGAAGATTTGATTTGATGGACAACCACATTTCAGAGACAGAGCTTTCCACGCTAAATCTAGAAGTAAACGACTTGCTGAACAATGCACACTGATCTGGTCTTAAGTCACGTCTGCTATGTGGTCAGATGACGAATGTGTCGTCGACATATCGGAGCCAGAGAGAAGGGCGTTGTGAGAGAGTCTGGAGTGCTGTAGTTTCGAAGTGCTCAATGAAGATGTTGGCTATAACCGGTGAAAGAGGCGATCCCATGGCTGCGCCTTGAACTTGCTGGTAGTAATTATCTCGCCATTTGAAGGAAGTTGAATTGAGGCAGAAATACATGAGGTCATGTATTTCATCCGGTGTCAGGGGAGTTCTGTCGGGGAGGTTATACTGACTTACCTGGTTCGTATTGGAAGCTTAACATTGTACTGGATCATCAAAGATGGTTGCCTTCTTCATGTAATGTCTAGGAACTTTAAGGTTATTGGCTTCAATTGACTTACCTGGGTCATCTTGGAAGCTAAGTTACTAGTGGTTTGTGGATGTTTGTCTTCATGTTTCATGTACAGTAAGGTCAGGGAACCTAAAAGATGTTGGCCTTAAACTGACTTACCTGGTTTGTCTATAGCTTGGAAGCTTTTGGTTGGTTTAATATGTTGGTCTTTATCATTTATCATGTAAGTTCTGGGAACTTAAAAAGTTAGAGGCCTTAACCCTATTATAACTGGGCTATTTCAGACCAGGTTTTTACGGGGGGGGGGGGGAGTCAATTTGACCCCCCCCCCCTAAGATCTTGGCCGTTTCACCGCTGATCGCCGCGAAAATTTGCATGCATGTCAAGTGAAGTGTATAGAATACTATGGTAATTTCAAATTTTTGAAACATTCACTCATTTGCATATTTATGGTAATTTATGCAAATAAGGTCATACAATTCACATTTTTGCCCATAAATCATACATTATTCATCTTTAGCATTTTTTTTCACTACATATATTTGTTAGACCGTTTGGAATAATAATACAACACAAAAAATCGGAAGAGCCAGGTTATTCCTCATGTAATCTCTTGTTTTGATAATTTCTTATGTATTTCATTGTTTTTTTAACTTATGTATTTTATTGTTTTTGTTGTTTTATTTCATTTATAACTACAATTCAATTTTTTTATCCCAAAACAAACACCTAAACTTTAAACAAGATAAATAACTAATGTTTTTGAAAAATGACATTTGCATGTTTTGTGCACAAATCACAAAAATGAGCGATTTTCGGGCTGACATGCAAAGACAAAAGGTCACGTGACTTTGTAACTATACGTCCGATTTTCAAAAAATTGTTTTAAAAGATGTGTAAGACTAAAAAGTCATGAAAGGAAAATTTCATATCTGCCGCGATTTCGGAGAAGTCGCAAAGTTTCTACAGGGGGGGGGGTCAAATTGACCCCCCCCCCCATGAGTTAACATAGGATTAAACTGACGTCATCAGTGGTCTGCATACTTTCATCGGTGTCTTTGTTGACCATCTGCGCTGCACAGTCGTTGTCAATGCTCTGCATACTTCCCTCGATGTCTTCGTTGACTGTCACATGCAGTCCCAGTCCTGTTAGTGTATTAGAGAAAATGTGTTGCAGGAATATGGTCTCATCCAATTTGTTAACCCATTATATTTGTACCTTGACTATGGTTTTTTTGTACAGGAGTTTTTACACAGAAAAGAACAAGTTATTACCTATTAGAACTATCTTAAATGATTATCATATGACCATTATTATAACAATTCTTCTTTAGAGTAAAATATTATTAAGTATCACCACCAGTGTTTCCCTCTATCCTCTTTTTATGTATACCAAAATATAAATTCATACATGTCTTAGAGCTGACATACCTTGATGGTCTGCATACAATGATAGATGATCTTCTCGTCATTAATTGTGTTGCTCTGGGATAGGTACCATTTCACTCTGTTTATGAAAGAGTAATACAAGATGCAGAAGAAATACTAGAAAGCATTGACATTATATTAGTTATACAATAGTTCATACGCAAACACTCTGACAGGAACATTATTGTTGGTGAGTTAACTAAGGAGAAATACTAGAAAGCATTGACATTATATTAGTTATACAATAGTTCATACGCAAACACTCTGACAGGAACATTGTTGGTGAGCTAACTAAGGAAAATCAAATGAGTTTGTAGCAATCTTCTAAGCCTCAGATACAAACATCTCATGCAAATCCAGTCAAGAACTAAATCATGGTGACAACCTCCAGTTCTTCTTGGGCAGCACATAAATAGGAATTAAATTATCAATGACATTGAAGTACAAAAGAACTTATTGTTTTAAAAAGATGTGAGATATTGGTACTCTAAGGACATTGTAATGACAGATATCACACTATTTTTAGAAAAGTAAATGCTATTCATATGATATCATCTTATTAGTTCAGTGACTTGAAATATAATCAAATAATACTTACAAAGTATGAATATGAGCCACATGGGTCATCCCCCATCCAATGCCCATGACACAAAGCTGTATGGCAACGGACACATGCTGCCCATACTTCAACGAAACACGATGGATGACCACAATTTAGTAGAAAATCGGTTCACAGATCTTTCTGCAAATGAAAACAAAAGAAAAAATTTTAAGTAGTTTTCAACAAGATTTAAAATTTCTTCTCCATGCTCACACTGACAATGACATGCACTTGTATCATGATCTCATGTAACTATAATGGGGATTAAAATAGAACTGTGTACCTAAAAACATGTCTTTTATTTCATTGTTGCTGATTTTCATGCTGACATTTGAGATAAATGATATTCTATAATTACATTTACCACTGTAATGCAAAGAAGATTACATTAAAACAGAATGAGGAAGTGTTGTTACAATATCCTACACAAAATGAATCGTTGGAACAGTATTTAAATATAGGTAACTTACTAGCAAGGACAGCTAAAGGCATATTGTCATCATCACTATCGCTGTAGTCATTCTGTTTCTCTGGCTCAGCCTCTCTCCGGTCATCAACAGCCAGAATGGTACCCTTCAAGCTTTGCCGTCCCCACTTCATTGTACATCTTGACCCAACCCAGACTCCATATATCTCCTCTAAATCTTGAACAGCCACCACATTCTTTTTTCCGGTTTTCGTCCAATGGACCAAAACCAGGTCTTCTGTATCATTCAGCATATCTATAGAACATAGAAATGGAAAATAATTAACGCTGTTATAATTGTTTTTTCTTTGCTATATTTTCTAATGGGCGCAATGAATAAACCAACATTATTTTCTCAAATCCCAAATCAAATATGGTATATTAATAACTGTTTATTTAAAAAAATAAATCATTATGCTTACTTTAAACAATTGCAAAAAACATGTTAGTAACTGATTGAAGGGATTGAAATGTGTGTAAATTAAGCTTGTTGGTTTACTCATGAAATTCACCTAGGCCTGAGTTTCATACTGTGAGTTGATATACTTATGAATTAAAAGTTTGAATATCAGCTTGTCTGCACCTAGACTACAGCTTTTAGACTTTGTATCAATGTCACAATGTCTAGAATTATCTCATGACGAAAACTCGTCGTTTAAAATTGAAACCCCCATTTGACTTTCACCATTTCTACTTGTACTAGAGCTGAGATTGTGATAAGCCCTAAGTAAACACTAGCGCTGTAATCCACCCCCACCGAGACCTTGATGAGGTGATAGCGAGAGAGAGATAAGCATGATACAAGGGGAAAGGAAGGGAGAAGGGAGAAAGAGACACATGCAGGGGTTCGCTGCCAGAGTTAAAATTGTTGTTATATCGCCAATTATGGGTCATTTTGCTTCGTTCGAACTTTCATTTTGGTCTCCATCTAAATTATTAGTGACTTTAGGACATAAAAATATCTTAAAACAAGTAAAATACTTATTTCCTACTTCTCATTTCCTTTCAGGCAGACCCCAGTAAGAGTTTGTTTACACTAGTATTACGTAAGATGATGTAGAGTCCAGCTGCAATCCAATATCTTAATCTCTCACTCAGAGCCTCAAGGCTCTGTCCAAGTTTTTAACGAGAGAATTGAAAGTGGGGTAGTGAGACCCCATCAGATTCCCATTGGTGCTTGTGTAATAGTAGTAGCTCTCTCAAAGTTTTAACGAGAGAAACGAAACTGGGGTATTGCTACCCCACCAGATTACAAAGTTTTAACGAGAGAAACGAATCTGGGGTAGTGCTACCCCACCAGATTACATTGACTGCTGTGCTATAGTGGTGGGGTATAGTTTTAACGAGAGCTTTTCGTAATGTAGAGCATATCTTCAATGTCATTGAATTGTGTTGATCTACATCTTGGCCCATTCATTAATATATATCAAAAAAATGTATGCCACTTGCTGATAAAGATCAATTGACATGCTCATTTCAATGAATCCAAACACCAAATACAAGGAACCAAAATCCTCAAATAATGAGCAGAGAGTGTTTATTCAAGAGTATAGGCTAAGCTTTTTAAAGTTTTAGGCTAGTTTTAGGAACACTACTAATAATAATATTACTACCTCTGCTTTAGTTAGATCGATAGCAGTGCAAATGGCTATTTAAATTGTTAATCACTGAGTGTTAATTTACAAGAACACAGCAATATAAAATTACATTGTGTTAGGCTTTGAAGAAGTTACTAATTTTTCTAGAACTAAAAGGTTGGCCAAATGTCAGGCAGAACGTTTTTTTCACTTAATTGACAAGTACAAGTAGGTTTATTTCAGTCTCTCAGTCAACTAATACAGAGGCTGGATAAATCGTCATAGTTCAGTTCAGCTAGGTAGCATAATGGAATATAATACGACCATGCAGTGAGAAGGGGGTCATAATTCTACAGACTACAGGTTCATAGTTTCAAGCTAGTACAGTCTACTACGGTAGTCTAGATCTAGACCTTTTGCCATGAAACTGAGAGGCTTAGAAAGTCAAAGGCTAGTAAAGTACTAGTCCATCTGGGGTCTGCTCGCCATTCATAAGGACCGCTATTTATAAAAGACAGCATTCATTTAGTCACACGTTATGAATAGTGGTCCTTATGAATAGCAAGGTAAATTGCCTATGGTTTGCTCACTATTCATAAGGGCCGCTATTCATGAAGGATTGCTATTCATTTAGTCACGCGTTATGGATAGCGGAGGAGTTGTAGAGGTACGTTTTCAAGCCTCTTACAGGGGTGGTTAATCGTTAGTTTCCCACTAGTATTAACGCAAGGGGCTAAATTACGCAGTAGGGCTAAGCCTCTTGCAGGGGTGGATAATCATTACAAGCCTAGTAGTAGTACAGTAGTCTATTTCATTTGTCTTGTGACTATTCTTGCCCCACTAAAAAACGGTGTTGTGCAAGCATAAGTGGTGAAATGTCTTGGCAAAAACAAGTCTAGATCAGTACTCCTTTGATTTAGATCTAGAGATCTAGATCAGTAGATGGTCTTACTCAGTTAGTCTTACTCTTGTCTTAGCAGATCTACTGTAGATGTAGACATGTAGACTGTACGCTGTACTACTAGGCCTATACTAGTACTACTGACATGTACTGATGTAGATCTGACTGAAACTCAAAAACAAAGAATACCCTGGCCCAAGTCAGGCCCAAGTCACTAGACCCAACCTAAAGCTAAGCCTGCTTAGAAGCCGTCTACTGGCCTAACCAGATGCCGTTCGAAATTAAAAAACATGAAGGGAATTATATCTGCAGTCTTTTTTTTTTACAAACTTAGCTTCATGTGATATAAAATAGGCCATTATGTAATCAATTGCATGCCATAGATTACTTTTAATTATAGCAAAACTGAAAATTGAAACGCAAGTAACTAGAATAATCACCACTACAGTAAAGTCAACCTGTGGGGCTGCCCAGATTAGATATAAACAAAAGGAATACCATAATGTAGACAGATTAAAAACAGCGATGGGAGCGCTTAAAATAACGTGTTCATGTTTCTTGGTGTACATTTCAATTCAAACTATTAAAGTCATTGTTCAATTATGTTAATGATTTAAATACGGAAATTAGAAAAATAACTTACTTTGAATGATACATCTAGCAGACGAAAACTTAGCTCCGCGAGCTCCCAGATTTCCTTGCAGACGACAGAATATGGTGTATTGCGGCTTTTGTGCATTCAACGCGCGGATTTTGTCACCGCACAAAGGCCGTAGCGCGAATAGCGGCCTTTGTGCAGGGAAATTTTGTGCACTACGGAGATAGCGGCCTTTGTTTTTGAAGAATATCTTGATAACAAAGACGAATCTGGAAACAAGCGACATATCAAATTGTAGCATTTTTAATTCTCTACATGATGCAAACAAAAAGTAATTTTCAAAAAATTTGACCAAATTTGCCGATAGCGGCCTTTGTGCGGGCAAGCGACGATATGTTGTAACAGGGGTCTTGTGGCAAGCAGTTTTGGTAATTATAATGATGTCTGTATGAATAGAACTACAATTAATAAAATGTTTAAAATAAATGGGAAAATGACTAGCCTGCATTATTTATGCATCAAAAGAAAAACAAATAACAACGTCAGTTGACAATAATGTCAAGCTTAGTCACAATTATAACATGTTGAAGACTATCGAATATCTTTGAGGCAGATGGAATATAATTTAAACCCTTTCATCTCCTGCCTATTTCCACATACTACTATAGCCGTCTAGCAATACTGTAGGCTGGCAGCCATGGATGGCAATATTTGGAACAAGGAGTAAATGTTTGTGCCTTACACTAATAACAGGAAATTAAAGTTTGTCCGCCGCCGTCAAGCAGGCCCAAGTACCCAATGTTTGAGCAGCCGCTGGGATGAGTATTCGATCAGGGAGGGTGATGTGGACTCCTTAATGAGATGGTAGGAGCAATGGCTGACCGATACAGTGGTCAGTTTGTGGTACTACTGTATTTATTTCATCTATTGAGAGCCAGAAGGGCATTAGCTAACATCATTTTACAGGGTATTACTGCCCTTCTGCCTCTCAGCTGATAGCATAATGTACCATGTAGCGAGAACATGGAAACTCAAAATGCACCGACATGTAATTTAATGGGATAGAGATGTAGAAATACAGAAGTCCTTTACGGTGTTGATAATTACTTGCACACAAAGCTGAGATGCATTTTTTGTATTGGTTTGAATTACAGTATATTTTTGTTAAACGAGAATTTCCAAAGACTGGCCTTCTTTAAATAAAGTATTTGGATGAATCATTTCTCGATGATAGACCCATGTGTGCATTACTATGTTTGTGTGTACTCCAATCTGGCTGCTGTTTAGAGAGCTTGTTTTAATAATGTCTGAGCATCTCCAGTGCTGATAGATTGTTAGGAGCTCCTGGGGTGACTAGCATCCATCAGTCACCAGTGTTCTTCCCTTAAAGGTGGTGTCACTGAATGGTATAGGTTTACAGTTTCCTTTTTATTTCGAGAAATAAACATGTCAAAGAAAAAATTCTTCATCTCATGAAGATATGAACTTCATATAAAGATATCAATTAAAAGGAAGATAGTTTCCCATCCTCTTTCATACTAAGAAATCAATGGCTTTCAGGAATGAACACTAAATCATATTTGGCTGTCCTTGCCCATATCATTAAAAAGCTTCAGGAATCTCTGCAGCTATGACTTTCAAAATGTATTTATTAATATGTTTTTCTGGGTAAACAATAGGTACTTTGTTATCATCAAACTTAACTGAAATTGTACATATTTGTTGTTTTGCACAAAATCACATATCAAATTTTCACATTTCAACTTACCAATTGACATGTAAACATATGCTCTAAAACTAGAAACCTTTGGGACAAACATAAAACTTTTGCGAATTGCAAAATTTCAGAGTTACCCTTTTGGCAGCATAAATATTTGCGAACCATGAGCACTTGCTTAATTCAGCAGAGTTTTTCTTTTTTGCAAAAGGAATTTTCTGAGTTTCGCTACATTTCAAGATACTCATGATAATGTATTGCCTTTCAAATCAACAACGCTACCTTTAACCCAGCCTCTAGGAGTCCAGGCATTGTGGAGTGATCTACCTTACACAGCCAATCCGGAGGGGATTATCAAGACTTGTGAATTCTTGTTCATTCACCTCCATGAAGACACTCAACCCACGGATTCATAGAAGGTTTCGTGCTTCTGTCCATGCTCAAACATGCAGCAGTCAGTATTGTTGGGTCTTCCATAGCCTCTTTCATCTATCTCCCCAGTGATTTCCTTCTTTCTTTCTTTCTTGCTGTGTGTCTGTCTCTCCGTCTCTCCATCTCTCTGTCTCTCTGAGTCTCTCTCTATCCATCCCCCTTCTCTCTCTCTTTTCTCTCTCTCTCTCTACAATGTATGTTTGTATGTCTTCTTTCTTCCTTTCTTCCCAAAGACATTTCATGTTTTACCTCTTACTCTCAATACTTCTTCTCTGTCCTTATTGTTTCCCAATTCTTTCCTTATTCTCTTGCCAACACATTCATAACCTCTGTCTCTCTCCATCTCTCTATCTCTCTCTCTTTCCAACTTCTTTCTTTTACTCACTCTCAATCTCAAACAACTTCCATTTTTATATCGAACAACTTGAAAGGATTAGCATACTTTACGATAAACCTTTTCAACTTGGGTACTTTTACAACTCCTCTGAAATTAGACATAAATGTTTGCGACAGCCCACACATAGTGATAACAATGCAACCTTTAGTCAACCCATCCATTCATTGCTTCACTATTCATACTGTGTGATGACAAATATCCTGCATTTAGACAGACGAAGAGTCCTCTTTCAAAACCCTGATCCTCGCAATCGATCCTCTTCATCCATTTTTAATCAGAAAATATGGCATATTCTCCTCTCTGACTCCTGGTCTATTTGAGTTTTCTTTTGAGGAGGAGAGAGGTCTGGAGCATTGAACAACAAGGGTTCATTTTCACATGATGAATGGTTAGATCTGTAATGATGATGTATGAAGCATGCCCTGAACAAATAGTCCAGAATATGCATGAGGGGAATACTCAATGTCTCTTTTTACTTTATATGTTTTCAACTTATGAACCAAAGTTGAAACTAATTGAAACTTTTCATATTTTACGAGCAAATAGTCCAGATTATTAATTAAGTCGTAGGAAAGGGATTATTAACATCTGTCTGCTAAATGTCTACAATTTAAGTAGCTACTTTAAATCTTGATATTGATCTAGACAAATGAATTAAAAATCTTCATAACTGTATGTTTTAACTATTTATTGTGACTATTGTCAACTACATCGATAAAGGATATATGAACAAGAACTGTTACAATATCAAGTTTTTGAAGGATAACCAGTAAACAAGTAAATTATTCATACAATTACCAAGTTTTGTAATTGTTTAATTAAGTATGTGAAAAATGTATTTGTCACAATTTATGTTTCTTCAAAATGTAACATATTAAAGCTTACATCTAAAAGTACTCAACAAAGGCCCTAATTCAACCAGTCCACCTGTTATTCAACACAAAAAACATCAAATTTACAAGGGGTATGACAAATTTAGTTGGTAACTGTAAGCCTTTAACTATATGCATCTAGATTTTTTTATAAAAGAAAAAAGTCTATAGATTACAAGAATAAATAAAGAGAACATTCCTCTCATAACATCAGACATAACATGATCAGGAGAGTGGAGGGGGGACATTTACTACATGCAGCATAATCAGTATGAGCACCGTTACATAAAATATGCAAGATACATAATACAAGATAGTTACATCCTCTAGGGTCTGGATTAATACTGTTTCAAGGAACACCTTGAAGACTATGATGACATGTTTTGAGTTCTAGACTCTAAGTCATGCTCCAAATACACTATAATGGCTTCTTGGTGTCATTGGTGGGGGGAGGGGGAAGAAATATCAGGTGGATGATATGTGAGAGAACAGGGTCATAGGGTGGGGGAGTATGGGCGGATGTTTTTGCCTTCTATTCTATGTTCATTCCCTTTTCTTCATTTTAATGGGGGACCTCCTACTCCTACACCCTTAGCTATGCTCATGGTAACTCATCGGGTTATAACAAACATTGTGCAGTACTCAGTCAATTAAAGGTTAGAGTAATCAACACTTGCCCCATACAAAAACATCTTCCACCTTGGCAGTCTCTCCTGAGATCTACCAAATTGCTCCCCATGTTGGGGGTGTTAAATTTGCACAAGGTTGGTCCCATCTTCACAAGACACCAACAATAGACTCCGCCTTGCTATCAAGGTTACCATTCCTTAATCTCTCTCCCCTCTCTCCCTCAATCACCATCATGCTTTTATACATACTTTTTATTGATACAATAGCAAGAACTAATGCAATGTGGGAAATTATATAATGATCAAAATGCGTTATTCTTTAATTTGACATTATAAAAATGATCATATTAGGAATACTTGAATGGTCAGACATGTTCACTGAACAAGAATTCTTACCCCCCCCCCCTCTCTCTCTCTGTCTCTCTCTGTCTCTCTTTCTCTCAATCTTTCCCGTTCTGTTTTCTACCACACCACCTCTTTTCTATCCAGTTTCCTGTTCATCTCCCTTAGCTGTTTACTAATTACTTTGTTTTATCACATCTTATGTTTACCTATATTTTTATGAATTATGTGTCCAATGAACCCTAACAAATGTGTTAAAAAGTAATGCATCAATTAAGGTTATTACGCTTTGCTCCTTTCCTTGTTTCCCTCTAGGCTCTAATTATTTGCGCACCAGTCCAAAGTGTTAATTCAAATCTCTGTACATTGATTGTGAGCGGTATGGCTGTCACATTAACCTACATTCATGTGATGAATGGGCAAGATCAAAGAATTTTGTAATTGCTCCAGATCCTCATTGACCTAATTTCTATTGTAATTACCCCTTATCCTCGGGTTCTCTTCAAGATGAGTAATATCTCTGACATTCTCTTCAACTTTCAAGAAATATGATGGAAGAAACACAAAGATCTGGCTAAGGGTGAAATGGCGGAGCGTGGCAAGGCGATAAATACCCCATATTAGGGCCATAAAAACTGGTTCTAACCCTTCCTTGAGTAGGTGAGAAAGATGAAATCGGAGATGCACTCACCCGTGACTTGTGGGAATTATGGACAGTGTCCGATTTGATGAGGATAAACATGGACGGGATCTCGGATTTCACCCTAGCATCATTCATGTGTGTGCTCAACAATGGGACGATCGTAGATGGACCCTTACTGCCTACCACCCCACCCCACCCCCTCCAGAAATGGACCGCAATGAATGGCTGCAGCAACAATGGCACACCCTGAACCAACAAAGGCGTAAAGGATCCCCGCTAATCCTAGCCCGGCCCCATCCCTGGACTGGGATACCAGCAAACACCTCCCCATCCTGTCTTCCGATGGGGAGGATGTGGGA